CGTGGAGCGGCTCGGCTGAGAGAGAGTCAGGTTGCCCCGAAACTGAAAAAGTATCACTGAGACCCTTTACCCCGAAGGTTGCTGTCTGCTGTTAGGAGTGAACGGCCCTCAGTTATCAGCAAGGGTGGCCCGTTAAAAGGACATTCTGGTTTGACAGCTGTGGAAGGTGTTTCTGTATCGCATGTAAATTGCGTTAATATGAATCCCACTTAAGTTGTCTTTTTAAACCTACATGCAATGTGACTAAACGAATAACCGAGAGAAAGCAGACAGGCGGCTACTCTGTTTTGCTGAAGAACAAGAAAACCTCTCGCTTTGGTCTGCAGAAACCTGATAGCTCATCTACAAGCTTGCTCACTGACATAAGAAAAGTCAATTAACTTGTTGAAATAAGCCTACAAATTTCCTAGGAAAATGCTACTTAGTTTTCTTAAAGCTGTGCTGAATTAGGTCCCCTTTTCAAGCCAGTTACAGTACTTACCAAACTTGTGTGATCACTGTAGCAATCTGTAGGGCTGACTAACAAGAGCTGGGCAGATCTAGCACAGGTGCAAGATATTAGTCCCAATTAAAAGTGTGAACTATTCGCAAGGTTATATTTTAAATATTAGGCTTCTCACTTGTTTTTTGTTGTTTGCAGATAAGATTCAACTGCTTGATCTGAAAGAGTCTTGGAGGCAAAGAAGGAAGACAAAAGGGACGTTGTTATGTCTGCTGCTAATGAAGATGATGTCTGTAATCATGTGAAAGTGGTGGTTCGTGTCCGTCCAGAGTCTCAAAAGGAAAAAGATGGCAACTTTAGCAAAGTTGTCCATGTTGTTGACCAGCATATATTGGTCTTCGATCCAAAGGAGGAAGAAGTTAGCTTCTTTCACCAGAAGAGACAGACCTATAGGGATATTACCAAAAGACAAAATAAAGATCTTAAATTTGTGTTTGATGCAGTTTTTTCTGAAAAATCATCCCAGTTGGAAGTTTTTGAGAATACTACCAAAAGTATGATTGATGGCTTCTTAAATGGATATAACTGCACAGGTAATTTTGCTATTTATCTTATTCAATTCAAAAGCTTCACTAAATTCCTTGAAGTTTCTACCATTGTATCCAACTGCTGCAGAGGCCTAAAAAAAACACTGAGATACAAATAAAGCATTTTGTTTTAATTTGTATATATGAGAGGCTGACCTTTTCGTCTATCGAAGTTAGGATAGCTCTGCTCTTTTTTGAAAATTAGTTCATGTTAGCATTATAATAGACTTAAGAATTTTATCTTTAATTCACATGTTTACAAGGGGCGTCCTCTGGAAAGTTGGTCAACCAGAAGCAGTTGTGTCACTGAATGTGAGGTAGCCCACTTTATGAGCTCTTTTTAAGAGCTTGGTTTTTTTAAATTGGCAAATAGAACATTGTGAGGAAATGCAGTACCTACCTGCTGTTAGTTGATGACTTAAGAGAGTAAGTAAATACTCTGGTAAATTGCCAGTGAATGAATTTTGACCTGAAAATTCAAAGATCTGTGTGATTTTGAAATAGTTTTAGGATTATAGCTGTGAAAAGTAAAGCCTAAGAAATTTGATCAGTTTAAGAAAACAGCTGTGCAGAATGATAGAGGTGTGTGAATGTCCCTTTGAATTTTGTGTTCCTGATTAGCTTACTGGTATAACATTTTTTTTGCTTTGTTGTTTTTTTGTGAAAATTCAGTGCTTGCATATGGTGCAACGGGAGCTGGAAAGACACATACAATGTTAGGTACCCCTGAAGATCCTGGAGTGATGTATTTAACCATGATGACACTTTATAATTGCATGGATCAAATGAAAGAGGATAAAATATGCAATGTTGCTGTCTCTTATTTAGAGGTAAGACAGTTCTTGCATTTCGTATGTTGCTCTTAATAAGGCCTGTAGTTATAAGTAAAGACTGTTTTTTCCTTCCTCCCCACAATTCCTGGGACTTTACAAAATGTATCCCAAATAGGAATGGAACTGAACTGTGCTCCACAAATTTGGTCTTACTTGTTACTGTCTTTCAGAAGGCTGCCCAAAATAGACAATCTCTTCTAATATTTTCACTAGATATCTCTTCTAATATTTTCACTAGATATTCTGCTGACTTAAGTCTTGCTGATCAGTTACATTCCTCTGAATAGCTGTTGATGTGTACAAAAAAAAGTAGTTAAGAATTTTAACAGAAATACATTTAGATTAAGAAATCTTGCTGAAGTATGGACTATAATGTATAAATGCTTTGGATTCATGTTTGCTGCAGGTTTTTTTGTAGAAAGAATAAACTTACATTCTTTTAAAAAGAATGAAGATTGTTCACTAGGAAATGGTAACTCCTACTTCAATGGCTGAACAAGATTTATGCAAATTGAATTAAATATTTCAAGATCAGTGTAGAAAAGCTGTTTGGCAAAAAATCTACAGAACAAAATTGTTACTTTATCTTAAAGAAGTATTAAAAAAGACTGATGATTTATAGTTAGTTAAGCTTAAACCTGCCAAGTATGGTAGGATAGTTTTGTTAAAGTATTTTACATTTCTTTTCAAAGGTCTACAATGAACAAATCCGTGATCTGCTAGTAAACTCAAGACCACTGGCTGTTTGTGAAGATACCCAGAAAGGGGTGGTAGTCCAAGGGCTATCATTACACCAGGTAGGTAAATATGGAAATTCAGGAAGCCTCACAATGTGTTTGAGAAAATGGTGACATTCTTAGTGATCTGTGAAAGTTGTATGCAACTTAGTAACTTCCTAGTGGGTGTTTTTTCTGGTTGTAATCACCAGAAAACCTAACTAATTATTCAAAAGCATGTAGAAAAAAAACCTGCTAATAGTCTTGAATGCAAATGAATAAAAGCATTTAGTCCTTACTATTGAAAGCATATCAGTGGCTCCATGCTCATCTTCAGGTTCTAGAAGATTTGGTTTTTGGCTAATGCATCTTAGCATTTGTTAAAGAAATTCACTGCCTTCAGTGACGTTTTGAAGTGTTCTACACCTTTGCAAGTCTTGTGCCTACATCTCAGGATTGTTTTCATTTTTAAATAACCATGCTTGAAAAGTTTCACTTTAAATTACGTTCTGGCCAGCAAAGCAATTCTTTGGCAAAGTCAGTGACAGAACTTAGTTTTCCAGTCTGAAAATCAGCTCTTGTGGATCATTTTCTTGCAGTACATGTTATAGTGTGTGTTACATGGTATGTAACTTCCAGCTTTTGTGTACATAGAATAATGATTCAAGAGAAAACAGTGTTATTAGTTTAGCTCACTCTGTGAACACCATCCTTCCCAAAGGGTTGGGAAAAGTCTCTTCTAATTTTGTGGAGGAAAAAGTTTAGTATATCATGGTTTAATGCATTAGTACCAGAAAAATTAAGTCAATCATTCTTAAGTAAGACTTTTTCTAACTGTGGAGAACCTTTGCAGATTTGTTTAAATTCTTTGCTGAAAAAAAAATTATTTAAATTTCTGCAGTTTTTAAGTGCTCGCTTTTTGTGCCCCATTGCTTTTAAATGGAGAATGTTTGTTTGAAATGTCCTAATTCCAAACCAGGAAATTTCCTTCATTTCTAGGTAACTAAAATCTTAAGTTCCTTTATTTTTTTGAAGGTGAATGTTAATGTATTTTAGAATTGGTGTAGAATCTCCTATAGTTGACAAAAAAGGAACAAAAAGTGCATTTATCTTGTTGATCTACCCTTAAAGCCTAAATCAGCAGAGGAAATCCTCCAAATGTTGGATTATGGAAATAAAAATAGAACACAACATCCCACAGATGTAAATGCCTCCTCTTCTCGGTCTCATGCTGTCTTTCAGGTAAGATGATATAGCTGATGTACAGTGGTCATTACTGTGAGTTGTAGTTTTTGTTTAAAGTTGAGTACTGTGGAAGCTCTTTTTGTGGTTTTGTTTGTTTGTTTAAATTGTTGAACCTTAGTTTGAGTGAGAAGAGATTAAAGGTTTGCAGTTTGCTCTTGTTGATTCCTTTTAAGTATGTGAAGGTTCATCATGGTGGTATTTGAAAATACAAATACAATGGAAAAGCAAGTAGCTATAAAGTTAGCACCTAAGACCTCTACTGTCAATATTAATGAGAAAAAAGGCTAATAACAGACAGTAAATGTATTAAATACTTCTAAAATATGTAATGGGACACAAGTCATTCCCATTCTAAGAGCTTATATGTTTTCTGATGTACTTCTGTTTGTAATTGCCCTTCCTTTTTTTAACTTCCCCTGAGGTCTTGCCCATGGTTGTGCCTTAAAGGCACAGATTTCTTATGAATTTGCTCCGTTTCAGAGCTGTGTGTGTGTGTATGTGTGTATTTAGGATGCAGCTTGTCTGCTGTGCACTGAACAGAAACTGTCATGCTCAGTGGTTTTGTAAATGTTTTTCATATGTTCCAAAAATTAAGCTTTGTTTTTAGTTTTTGTGTACGTATTATATACACACTGTAAAAAGGTGTGATGCATGAGAAAACACAAATAACATTCCTTTCAATGTTTACCAAGTACTGTTACAGTAAGCATCTAACTTTAAAGAGCAAAAAGTATATTAAGCCCTGAATTATTTTTCTCCGAGATCATTATTGTTCGCAACAGAATTCTTAAGAGTGCTCAAACTATTGTGAATGTTTTTGTCTTTGAGCTTGAGATAACTGACAAAGTAATTTCTGGACTAATCTCTGTGTTCTTTTATTGTTTTTCTGTGTCCCAGTAGCAGCAGCAGCCAGCAAAGTAGCCTTGATAGTGTAAAATGTCCTGGCTGTCTCTTAGCCAGTCTCCATATACAGCTACAGTCAGTTAAATGTCATGCTTGATTGAATTTTACATTCATGGACAAATGTCTGGGTGTTAGAACTTTCATGAAGGACAAGATCTTTCAATGTAAAGATTAGGCATTGCCATGCTGTGGTTCAAAGCATGTTCTGCTATATACTCAGCACTCAGTCCCAGCGCACAGTTCATTCACATAAACTGTCAGTGATTCTGCTCAAGGATACTGTAGTTACCAAAAACTTTCTTAAGTGTTCCTTGTAATATTCCTAATCCAGTTTACTCTTATAATGACTTAATCCTGAATGTTTGTTATGTTTGTCTTTTGAGATTTTCTAGTTGTCAAACAAGATAGTTAATTGCTTTTGCTTAAGTGATATTTTCTCTTAAGTGCACAAGTTATTGTTAAAAGTCATGATCTGTTTTGTTAGATAATTGTATCTTAAATGTATGATTTGTATAAATATCTACTAATACTGTGTGTTCTCCAAGACAAAGTGCCACCTTTGACTAATAGCGCATTTAAGAGAAATGGGTTTTAAGCCTCTTTCACAGAAGTGACTTCATGCTTGGGAGAAGGGAGGAATTCTTATTTATAAGAATGTGTGTGAAAGTCCTTAATATAAATACTGCATCTGCATGTGGCACTTTAAAGGAATGTTACTGTTGCTAACTAGGTTGGTGCAATGAATGCCACTAGAAGTTTAACGGATTGTAATTAGTGCATACTGTTTTGAGCTAAGCACCTTTACAACCATATGCTTTTTTTAAGGTAGGTTCTTAAATACTCCATCTGCTTGAGGCACTTATTACCAGTGTTGGCATCTGTAAGAAATAATTAAAAACTGGTCAATTAGTACTACAGGTAATCACTTATGTGAGTGTCTCCATTTGTTTTCACAGATCTGTGACTTTCTCCAAAACTTGTCTTACTTGCTTATCCTTTATGCCCTCTTTGGTTCCACGGATAAATGATGAGAAAACTCTATTGTTGTCTTGATTCCTGTTATTTTAAGAGTTGCCACTGTTTGTAGAGATTTTCTTTTATGGATGGCTTTAGTTTTTGTTAACTTTGTTGGAGCAGGACTAGAACTGGAAGCAGCAATTTTCTGGAACTGACTCAGAAAGTAATAAAAGTCTTGGCCCGGGACATTTTGAGCTGATTTGAGAGATGGAAGTTTTGCCTTATGGTACCACCTGTCTAAGGCTTGAAATCTCTATCTAGGTCAGGCAATTACTGCATCTGAAAGTAAAATCCCAGTTGCCACACTGTTCTATTGAAACTGTTCTGCTGACAGACAAAGAAATAGAAAAGATTCTGCTTTGGGGCATTTCCTGTATCTTTTGAGTCCTTATAAAAGCTTGAGTCATACAACATAGTTTAGCTGTTACTCCACCTTTCCCTATTTCATTAGTGATAGTTACTGGGCTCTGGCAGAATGCTACCAGTCTGAGCTACTTTACTGAGGGAACTACAGGGAAGTGGTTTTTTTACTTTTATTTAAATACACATTTTACTAGAAATAGTACAACAGAACATACTTGTTTGACATAGAAACATGTCTATTTGGTATATTTTGGCAAATCATAAGATATTTATTCAGTCTCAATACTTGTCAATTTTTTTTGCTTCAAATTGCTGTGAAGACTTCATTTTTCATGTGCAAAGCTTAAAACCTACAAAACTGGTGAGATGTTGTCTTTATTAGTCAATCATTTTATAAGTACCGCATCTCTTTCCTAATTCACTGTGCATTCATGAAAGTGTCAGAAACCAGTGGCCTTACAAATGGCAAAGCACTCACCATGAAAAAAGGGGGAATATATAGAGAATCCTGAAAAAGTAAAAGCTATCTAAGGATAACTAATTCTTCTTACTGACTGTATAATCAATGCCTAATTCCTTATGAAGCTGGGGAAATAACACCTTCACTAGCAGAAGGAAGCAAAAGTATTTGGTTCCTTGTATATCTCCTGTACGGTGAAAATTTTGGGAGAGAAGGGATGAGGGGGGGGAAAAGTGGCTTCAGAGGTCACAGCTTTCCAAAAGACCCCAGAGTAGTATGTGTTTTCACAGCAGTAAATGAGTATAATTCCCCTATTAATGGTAGTTACAATCACTGTAAGTCCAGCCTTTTTCCTGGTTTATCCCCATATATGTATATATATATTTATTTTTTCATGGTGTGGTCTTAAAGGTAGCTTTAAACAATGAACACCTTTTTCCATTTAAAGTGCGATAGTGTGGAACATATCTTGAGTGCAGAAAAATTGAGAGCTATTTTAGTTATAAAATAAATTTGAAGCTCACCAATACTTGTCACTGTAGTAAGCCCCAGCCGAGTTACTCACTTAATTCTCTGCAGCAGAATAGGGGAGAGAATCAAAAGGACAAAAGCAAGAGGGAAATACCTTGTGGTTCACTTAGTAAGTGAAGGGAGTGGTGGGGAAATTATCACTTGCCACCAGCATACTGATGCCCTGGCAATCTTCAAGCAGTGGCTACTTTGGAGAAACTTTGTCAGTTGAGATCAGCTATCCTGGCTGTGTCCCCTTGCAAGCTTTTGCCTACCACCTTGACACCATACTACCACTGTTCAACCAAAGCTAAACACTGGGGTGTTATCAGCACTGTTAGGGTCACAAATCTGAAGCTCAATATGGGCTGCTATGCAGAAAATTAACTCTCATCCCAGCCAAACGCAGTGCAACTACACTC